CGAAGGACCGAAACTTCGCTCGTCTGATCTCTTCGGGAATTACCTACGTCTACAGGAACCTTTTCATGGGCTTTGGAGTGAAATTGGAGCAAGTGCCAATTTTTGGGAATTTTTGGGAATTTTGGAGGTACGTTCCAGGTGGAGGTCCGCGATTTAGGGTACCAAGGTGATGGAGGCGACTTTATGGAAATCCTACTCGGTCCCAAGGAGATCGAGGAGGAGGACGAGGTCGGCAGGACCCGAAGTGGCCGTTCAACCCCCTGGGGGTAGAAGAGAGACCGACCGGGAACAGGCTGAGCCCTCGAGACCTGCTTCCCTCTATCGGCCTTCCCTCTTGGTCTGGTCCCAGCCCCAGGCTAGCTGCATAATTCATGGTCCGGCTACGTCGACCCGGTCCCTAGTCACCTCCTGGGGCCATCCTTTTCTCACCACCTTCCCGACTTGCATCGCGTGCATTCTGCGTCACCGGCGCTCCCTCGGGCAGACCTGGGGTGCATCCCGGGATGCGCGGAATGTAGAGCGAATTTTCGGATGAGTAACGACGAGCCCGAAGATGCGAGGTCCGCTCGTAAAGCACCGTTCCAGGGTTCGGAAACGGACCGGTTGGACGCGGAACGACGGCTTTACGAGGACCCTTGATCCCGGGGAGGTCGTCTAGGGAATAGGGAGATAGGGACCTGGATGCAACCCGGTCGCCTGGTAGAGGGTCCCTGAATTATTCCCGCTGATCATTGGTACCAACTCGGCGTAATGGGCCATCGCTTGCAATCGATGAGACTCTCAAGACTGTCCGGCAGGTCCTATTCCCGCAGTCGAAGACGCAAGTTGGTGACCAACGGGGGAAAAGGAGGTTCATCCAGAAGTTGGCGAAAGTTCCTGCGAACGGCAGTTCGCCCGGAGACTCCGAAATCGCGATCGTAAACCATCCTTCCCGACCGGCTGGGAGGGAACATCTTTACGAGAGTCCCGACCATCGATCCTTAGATACACTTTCCGCGATAGAGGCCAGAGTACACGGTCGTTACCTTTTTTAGGGCAAGGTCCCTAACTCACTCCATACCCGAGCTAACTAGAGTCCGATGCGCGTATCCACCTAGAATGGAGTCGACCTAAACCTTCTCCCGGTCCAATCTCAAAACCCCAAATTCAAGGTACCACGTCCAAGTACTCGATATCCTATGATTCGAGAACTGGAAGGTCCCGATATTTCAGGATTTGGAGGATAAAAGGACTCCCCGATATCAGGATGCAAATTGGCCCCGGCGAAACGGATCGCCGGCGTCGTCCCGCGACAAATACAAAAGCGGAGGGTAGAAAGTGCCCCCCAATATGGACTGTCCGCGGCGGGGCTGAAAATTAATATGGAAAATTCCTTTGACACGCGACACCGCCTCTCTGCTCGTCCTCGTGGTCGGCGGGCTCGTTCTTGGTCGCTTTATTTTTCCCGGGTCTCTTTCCGCGGCCGCATAACGAGGACCGGGGAACGAACTCGTCGTTAAGGGATAAACGGTCCGGAATCGCGAGTCGTGGTCAAAGCGAGACTGCCTTCGCAATTAGTCCCGGCTCTCGTTCTCCTTTGCCCTTCGTTCGGCTCCGAATTCGGCACGAAAGGGGACTCCGAAAACGGGATCCAGGATCCCTCCCGCGACTCGTGAGGTCTCCCACGGAGAGAGTCGGGCATAATTCTCCGCTCGCGTGTTCGATCCGCGGATGGGAATCGACCGACCGGGAAATGCGAGCCACGGCTCCCATAAAGCATTCCGTGAATATTAAATCTTCGGCCTCTAGGCACTTATCGATTCGTGGATGCGCCGCGTCGATGCAGGCGGCCATCTTGCGGCCGACCCGACTTCGATCCGATCGGAGGCGCCTCCACCGAGACCGAGAACCCGCGGTGCGGAGCACTTCCTCAAACGTTTATTATTAACCGGTGAAATCCTCTCATTTCCTAAGCTTGGTACATTCTTTAGAGAAAAAAAAAATTACATACCATCTCATTCTCTCTTTCTATCTCTACTTCATGCGTTATGCGATCGGGAGATCCGATTAAGAATCCTTCGAAATTATTTTTCCTCCTTTTTTCAAAGGACGCATCCTCGCTTTCGAGGTTTTTAATTTTCTTTTTCAAAGAAGACGACAACTGCTGGTTTTATTTTTCGCTGCACCAGGTTATACGGTGATCCTGTCGAGAAGTTTCAGGTCGAGCGACCGCAGGACCAAACCAGAGGTCCTTTGAACCCATTTACTATTTTTTTTCTCTTTTCTTTTCAAAGGCCGCATCCCGATGCACTTTCGGCGCACCTTGCATCGACGTGTTTGAAATTCGATCAAGGTGTCCTTCGAATCGATCCCGGCCGGGATCGTTAAGTGTATATCGCGATCGCGTTTCCCGATCTTCCAGAGGGACGATCGGCGATCCCGATTACGAGGCGTCGATCGATCGATCGATCGCCGTCGATCGTAACGATCGTCGCGCCTCGTCCATCAAGGGGGAGTGCCGATTACTACCATTACGCCCTCGTTCGATCTCGTGGTCCCTTCCTCTCCGTTTTACGGGCATTCCTCGCCGTCTGTCCCTCCTTCTCCGGTGGGGCCTTCGCATAACGGCTCTCGTTTTCGTCGATTTTCCATATCGCGGCAAGTACTTGACAAGTTTGCGAGGTGCGATAAAGGCGGCCGCGAAGATACGCACACTTCGGGCCCATCGGGAACCCGTTTGCCTGGTTTTTCTGGCGACTCCCTTTTTTCGGCTCTTTTCCTCCTCGAACCCATCCTCGCGACACTCCCGGCACTCCGCAATCTCCGTCGTAAAAGCGTGCCCTGTAATTTCGCCCCTCCGCTGGAAAAAGGACGCCCTGCCGACGCTCCTTGCGCGGCGCCGCCTCGGAAGTGATCCTCGATCTTTCCTGACTTGTCATTACGAGGCGTTCATCGAGTGTACCTATCGGCCGCAATTAGCCCTCGGGATGAACTGCGCAAAAAATTGAAAAATAAAAGCCTGATCACCTGTAACCTCGCTTTCGAGTCCCTTCACAAAGCGGCGAGTTGGTGGGTTCTATGTCTAAACACATGGGCAAGATGTATAAAATTTTGAAAATTCAAGGCAGGGTTTAGTAACACCGTGAATTTTGGATTCACGGTTTATTTATGGTTTGGAGGTGGATACAGTGGAGTGGATGATTGATTTTAATTTGGGCTTGATGGAGAAGTGGGATAAGGGAAAGATGTCGGGCGTATCTCGGCGCTCGTTCTCTGGCTGCCTTTCCGAAAGAGCCGAACTCGGCAGACAATTTTAACTCGAACCCATTAATCTTGGTTTCCCACGCGTAATTCTCCCGGCGCGTTGTTTTGCGAGTGTTGGGTGGCCGCTCTAAATCCGCCATCTTTAAAAAGCGAGGAGGAGAGACCCGGAGGAATACCGGCGACATGAGTCGCGGGGGTCCCCGTAAATCCCCGGTTTCGTGTAGCACGTCAAAGTGATCCTTAGCCTCCGCATGCGGAATCGCGGCCGCACCTGCTCCGCGAAGGAGCGCGCGGCCCCGCAGCTGCGGATGCTGGGAGCGACGAACGCTGGACCGAACCCTGGTCCCCAGGATCTCTCTTTGAAGTTCCGCAGCTGCAAGAGGGCGTAACCGTGCGCGGAATCCGCGGACTCTTCCCAGAAAAATTCGAACATTGTTTAAAAACGTGGAAGCGCGCCGGGGGTTCCTTGAAATCCAGACTTTCCGCCCTAAGCGATATCGTTGACGAGCATCTCCAGGTGCCTTCGTCTTTGAAGTCCCTCAGCACCTGACTTAACCTAACTTCTCCCCGTAAAATTCCCGGAAACTCGGATTTCCCTTTCTTCTCATCCCATTGACGTCGCTGATGGGGTCAGGAGCACTTCCAGCAGATCTTCCCGTCATTATAGCCACTTTGCGCCGTCATCGTCCAGCGCAATCCCTGGAAGCCGATTTTTCCCCTTCGTCGTCATCCAGCGATATCGCTCATGGGGAACATCTCCAGCAGGTCCCGCTGTCTTTGAAGTCCCTCGGCAGCATCCTAGCACAGCGCATCAGCAGCAAAAGGGCGACGGCGGCTCCGCGATCGTTTTACGATTCCGTCGACGTCGTCGACGTCGCCGCCCCGAGCCGGGCCGGGGCCGCGAAATAATGAGACGCGGCTTGGTTCCCACCACTCAAAGATAAACATCAGCGTTCAGGCTGGTAGTCAAAGAAACTCCCGTTAATTAGCCAAAAAGAGAGCCGGCCTCCTCCCGGTCCCGGGCGTCTTCCCCGTTTTTTCCCCGGCGTGTTCCAGGGACGCGCACATCGGCATAAAGCACGGCACCACTCCCTGTTCCCTCCTCGTTTATCCGTCCGTGCAGCTCGCGCGACTCCGCGACCATGGGGACCACGGGGGACCATGGGGAACCATGGGGAAGAGGGTCTCCTCCCAGCGCGCCGACATTCCCCGGGACCAGGGTTCTCCAACGTCCGATCCTAATCTCGATAATGACGCGTAATGGCTGCCGGCGTGAATGTGCCTCTTTGTCCGATGGCTCCCGGTGGTGGATGCACACCATCCGAGACCACCTCGAGTCCGCCATCGGCGACTCGCGCCATTTGACCCCCGCGAAAAATACGAGGAAACCCTCCGGGAACCCCTTGGCTCCATCTTTCCACTTAAGTCCAGTTTTTCAGGGCCCAAGACGCGGCCTAAGTGCCGCCGTTCCCGCTCCGAGGCCATGAGCGGCCACCATTCATCACTCGCGCTTTCGCTGAAGCGGCGGACCTTGGTCCGACTAATGGGGACTAGGTGCCGGGGCGATCGGGATCTCTTCGAGAACTCCTAGACGGATTCTTTGACACTCCCCGATGAGACGTAGAACCGGGGGAAGGGGACTCGAATGCGGAGCAAAGTCGGGCTCTGGTGGACGGAACCTTCGCGCCTTCGAACTATAAGAAAATGGGGTTCCAGTGGACGGAATTCTCACGTGTGCCTTTTTTCCATGGTTTCAGACGCGGTTATGGGAGCTCGATGACCAGCGCCGCCCGGACCACCATGGACTACCTGCGGACGTTCCTCTACCTCCTCATCTTCCGCTTCTGCGGCGGACACGCGTTAGACATATGTAAGTAGACTAGCATGTGAGAATCGCTAATTTCGGAGCCGCGACGCGGATAAAAAACCGCGGCCGATGCCTGGCGGCCGCACAATGCCGGGATTGTTGGGGCGCGATAATCGTAATCTCGGCCGCTCCACTTCTCGGTAACTCTTTTTCGTCCACCGACATTATCGTCGCTCGCTCTCTGTATGCGCTCCGGATGATAACGGGTCGCTCGTCGACGACCCCCTCTGTAGGTACCGACACCGGCGCGCCCAGAGACAAAGCTCAATGGAGGGAAATGAAATAACTTCGCGACTACTTTCCTTTATACCGTTCACCGGCTTTACATTAGCCAGACTTTCCGAGGGCAATGGCGGGCCTAGTGGACTGAAAAATTCCATTAGGCGAACTTCGAACGGGAACTTATCCGCTCCCGCTAAGACTCCATATTGGACGGGAAATGTAATGGGGGTTTTCATCAACGTCCCGGCATTCGATAAATCTCATCAATTATCCGGCTCCCGAATTTGGGTAGTCGGGTCTTTTTACTGCGATTAATCGATGGCATCGGTTCTTATCGCTTATCACTTTTTCGGGGTTCGAAATGGGAGGTGAGGTATTACTCAACAACTGACGAGCAAATGCAAGACCAGGACTAAGACCGTCATGGTTTTAGGGTCTTGGTCTTGCAAAAATTGCTCATCGCTACATCCGACACCCAAAATCCATTTCCGGGCGTCAACTAGTCAACGAGATCCGAAGATGTGACCTCACCCTTATCACGGAAGGGTGAAGCCACCCCCCTGGTACAAGTGTACGTCAATATGGCGAGTCGTGATTCACCATAGGCGGAGTTCGGCGAGGAAAAGTCGGCCCCGTCTCTTCGGCTCCATCAGCATCCCTCGATCCCGGATCCCGGGGAGGAGTTCCCAGGCGTCGGGACTTCTCCCTTTCGTTTCCATTCCATTGATTCCCCAGACTAGGGGGTTCCTCGGTGTCAGGTAAACAGGGAAAAGTACGGGGGACGGGGGCGCCGAGGAAACTCGCAAACCTTCCGCGGGGACACTTCCCGAGTTAGGGGCGTCCCGAGGGACTTCTCCGGATTCCTGGGGAAATTCATTTGGCAGGTGGCCGCCGACTTGGGATGCCGAAACTTTCGAATCTCCCCGCGGGTCCTTATCGGCGGTCTTCGCGGTTCTTTCGCGCTTTTCCTCTCTCTTTGTCTCTTTGTCTCGACAGTGACGAGTAAATTCGGTCTTGATCTAAATCTCCCGAAATTCAGGCTCAGGACCGTGAAACCAAGATCAAATTTGCTCATCACCGGGGCTGCAAAGAATAAAAGATCAAGATATCGGTGACTGGACCGTGCTAGACTGCACAACCAAGACCGAATTTCCTCGTCACCGAGTACCGATTTCGACTCGGTCCCTGCATAGGCTTGCGATTATTGCCGGTAATGAAACGGAGAGCACTGCACCGCAGACGCGCCTGATAGTCCACGAAATTACGTAAATGCACGCGTGAGTGCTTTGCGTAATTACTACTCGGTACACGCAAAGGGGAGCCGGCTTCTGCCGAGAGATTGGCGACGACTCGTGCGTGCGTCCACAATGGCGGGCCCCATAGCTGTCCCCATGGGCGAGGATTTTGAAAACGATCGAGCCCCGATGTTGCGACCAGACAAAAGACATCGTCGAAACGGAAAAGCAGATTTTATCCCAGCGAATCGGGACGCGGGGTGGCGCTTTGTTTGCTCTCATCGACACTCCGCAATCCCGACGCTCTCGGTCCCATCGCTCTCTTCCGACCGCCTGCTCCTTAATTTGAATTCCGGGAGGAATTAATTCAAGTTGTTTATGAAACGGGAATGGCGAGCTCACGCGTGGAACGGTGCGGTGCACATACCGCGCGTACCGCATGTACCGAGCGTACGATCGCGCGCGGAATTTTCGCCCGATTAATGCACGTCCCGCCGATGACTTGGATGAGTCTATCGGATGAACCGTAGGAAATTAATTTCTCCGCGTCCCCGGGTCCTAGATAATTTAATAGCGGACAAATAACCGTGGTTTGAGGTATGCCAAGTGATTCGCCGAGGCAGAGACCATTAGACGGTGATAATTAATGGTAACTCACCCAGGGGACAATTTTCCCGAAATTCTCCCCCACGACGCGCCGCTCAGGAACGTAATTTAAATTCCCGGACAAATTGGTCCAAGATATTGTTAACGAAACGGGGGCCGCTACTGCGAATTCATACGCGGTATCCCGCGGAATGACGTGCACGCACGCGTGACTGCTTTGCATAATTACCGACCGGGTGCGCGCAGCAGGAAGACCGCCTTTCAGTGCCAGTTGACAATCCGAACGCCCACGACTGCGTGTCGCAGTTGGTACCTGGACTGCACTTAGAAATTGCCCTCGACGAGGAGTTATCAACGAGCTATCCCAAGGAAACGTTAAAAATCCAGAGGCTAGAGCGACAAATCGAGGTGTGCGCACCTAGACTACCCCTGGAGTCATGTTTAGAGTGTTTCGGATGCTTCCCTTGGAACTGCATCTTCGTCGATCCCGAAGTAATCCATTTCTCGCCCCACGTCCGAGGACGGGGCACTTTCCCAATGATTTAGCCCCAATTGCGACAATTGCCAGCCCCGAAACCCCGGAATAATAAATCTCGCCGCGAGCTGGGGATCCTAATTCCGACATTAGCGAGCAAGTGCAGCGGTGGATGCGGTATCGGAGATATAAATAGCGCCGTTAAAAGTCGGAGCACGAGATGCCCCCCGCGGCGAGCGAACTTGTACATTGAACCGCGTTGGTAAATTCGCGGTCGTGTAAGGGCTGCCGGGGTGGAGGGACGCCGGGCGTCGGCAGGGCGGGGAGGGGAGCAGTTAAAGCGTGCATAAATTGCAATGTTAATGTTGCCGGCGATACATAAACATGGTGTACGTTGGTCGGATTGCGGTCTGGCGCTATGTGTGCCGGCCCCGCCGCGTGCCCGTCTAACCTAACCTATCGGATCCTATCCCGAGTCCTATCCAGGAACGTCCCGAGCTATCCGAGTCGGCCTAGCTTCGAAACCCGAATCGTCTAACCTAATCGGACCCTATCCTGTACCCTATCCAGTCCTCTTCTAAGCTATCACTGATAACAATTCATCGAACCTTAGTCTCCCCTGAATAGTCAAATAAATTGCATGCAACGTTCATGCGGAATTGCGACACTTTAATTGACTTAATTCGAGTGAAATTCTTCGGTCGTGTTTAAAGAAATATTTCTCCAGTTCGATTGAGTTTTTTCTTTATCATTCGGTGGTAGAAGGCCTGATATCGAGTAATCTATAATTTATCCCCGTCTAACCTAATCTAAACCGATTCCTGAAACACGCGCACGCGCGGCTTGAGACTTGGAGGGTGCGTGGAATTGCGCGGACGTTCCGCGCCGAATGGCCGGACGGACGCAGCTGCGCCCGTTCCGCGCACACGAGCGCGATTCCGCGTGTGCGGAATAGCGGGGGCGCGCGCCCGCCTGCGGTTCGACGGCATCGCCGTTATGAAGCGCTCGCGTTATGCCATTGTCACCCCTCCGCACCCCCGTGGCTGCTCCCGAGCGGCATATCCAATTATGTGGCTCCATTAGGGCAACCGAGCTACCGAAATTATCGTTTCGCTCCGGCCGCTCGATGTGATAACGCGATAACGATCGAGTTTTAAAAGGGTCTTCCGGATCCTCGCTGAGATCGCACCCCGATTTTTCTCCAAGTTGACGCCCGAGTGGCTACTTATCGGACCGCATATTCTCACCCCCGTTATCAAGTGCTCGCGTCGTGTCGTTATCGAGTCGTTACGTCGTCACGCGGGTTGCGGAGCGGCACATCCAATTATGCGGCTCCATTAGGCGACCGAAGTGCCGGAATTATCCTTTCATTCCGACCACTCGGCGCGATAGCGCAACAACGGGCCGTTTAACGCGGCCACGAAAGCGGTCGCATATCGAAGGCGTCTTGCGTTTTCAGTCCGAGCCCAGTTGACGTTTTCGTTCACGTTTTCCATCGGATGCGAAATTTCTCAGACCAGCGGAAATGCTTTCGGAAGGAAGTACCGAGGTCTTCTCCATCTACGATATTCTAATTCCTCGGAAATTAACGGCGAGATACGGATAACCCGACACTGTACTCCCCATTGTCGGGCCACCCAGAGTGGACCGCCAACCCTCAACCCCATCGACTCCGAAATTTCTCAGACCAGTCGAAATGCTTTTGGACCCATTTCCCGGGAAGAGTGGGAGATCGGGTGACGAGAGTCCGACGCGGCGTCACTTCTGGACCGACGCCGACGTCTCCGTCAATTCCCTTGCCATGCAGGGGGGCGGGGTGCGGGAAAGCAAACAGCCGAGCCGCAACATGATTCTCCGGCGATGCGTGCGATGTACTCCCGGGGTCGCACGCACACGCGTGACCCCGCGTTCCGTGCGTCGGGGGCGTGTTTGCCCCTCGCCCCCGTCTGCACGCAACTCGAGACGGCGATTTCGACGGCTGGCGGGAATCGGTGCGTGGCGGGGAGGGGGAGGTCCCGAAGGAAAGCAGGGATCGAAAGGGGCCGCGTAAAAGTAGCACTTCCGCCCGGCCAGCCGTCGCGGCGCCCCGGGCCGACGCATGCGTCCCGAAGCGCCGCCGCAATCGCGCGATCTAACTCGTGCGAGTTTGCAATTCTTTTCCGCACGTCCGGCCGACTGGCGACGGAAAACGATCGCGCGATTAGGTGCCACGTGGAGTAACAATTCCTATTCGACAAGATTCGTTAAGCTATTTTATTCCTACTGTTTTTTTTTTTTTTTCTTTTGCTTATTACATCGTGATAAAGTTGGGTTGCACGTGATGACAGATTTTTTATTGCGGGTTCGCGTTAAATATTTTTAATACGATCGGGAAGTCGCACGACCCGTCGATTAATTCTCGTCCTCAGGGGGGCGACACTAATTGAGTTGAATGGGCCGGGGGGAAAATTGAAAAAGCGCCCAGGATTTGGCGCAAGCCTAAGGGAGTCGTGATTTACGCGCTAATGTTAGCCGTAATAAGGTGCGCCGGTGAAGGCAGGATGTTTTTCACTAAAGACCCGCCGGTAATTAATTTACATTCACGGCCACCGACGGGGAAAGCGTTCAGAGGTAGAGTCCAGGTTGGAAGATGCAGAGCTTGCAAAGCTCGTCGAAGAGAGGCTGCAGGAGGGAGGGAGAGAAAGAGAGGGCGAACGCGACGCCCTCTTCCTCTCCAGAGTCATTAATAATAATCACAAAATAACAAAAGAAGGGAGGCGGGAGATTAAATATACCGCGCGGAATATCTCGCGATGAGGATTTATGCCGCACCAGAGAGCCGCGATTTCTCGCACCCTACTTCCGTTGACATTCGATCCGCGATTTCCGGCGACCGGATGCAAGCATTCCCCTCCGGCACGAATTCAACATCCTCAGGGATTTGATTCCAAGGGGAAAAAAAAATCCCTTCCAGGAAGGAGGGCTGAGGGATAAATCAGAATCCGCGGGGGAGGAATAAATTCCGGGAAGCTTAATTGGGTCTAACGGAATTACAGAGAAATTTCCCACCCCGTTGAAAGGGTTGGACACCTTGCGGGAAATTATTTCCGCGCGTTTCTCGGCTCCGTTCGAGGAGGCGGGAGAAGTTCCCCGGGCTCCTAAATGGCGTCCGGTCCCCGCAGGACTTCCTCGCCATTTCGCGGGAAAAAGTCCCGAGGAGGGCCGCAAAAAGCCCTAACGATTTCCCGGAGGCCCCCTACCCCGTCTGCGAGGGAGTCGCGCCGGAACTTCCGGCGCCGCCTTGCGGAGGAGTCCTGCAGGGCCGCCGGGAGTTTTCCCGTTCCCCGCCTCCCGGCGATGCTCGCAGGTCGGGTTCGATCCCGTATTTATAGACATCCTGGAAAAGGAGCGGGCAAGAAGCGGAGTAACTTATGCGACATTCGCCCGCCCCGGCCACTCGTTCCACGTCCATAACTCTCGGGGAGTGACAGCCACCGAGAACGGAAGGGTGTGCGCCTTCCGAGCACCTCCGACCCAGGGAAATTGAATGCCTCTCGGCCGACCTTCGACCTGGCCTCAACCTCCTCCGATAACCCCGCTTTCCTTTGACTTTCCCTAACCACCGACACCTGGGCCTCGATTTTCTAGGACGAGAGGGAAATCGAGCATTTCCGCCGGGTCAAACGGGCGCCAGCGCCTCCCTCGGGTCTCCAGGATGGAAATCACCCCCAGGGATTAAAACTCCCCCTCTTCCCCGCCGGATCACCTGCCACTTCCTTCGAGAAACCCCGCGAAAATGGAGCATCTGGCCGGGGATCCTTCCTCCCCCTCGATTTTCTCGAACGAGAGGGAAAACAACGGTCCCCTCCCCTGGAGGGGACGCTCCAAGGGATGGAAATTTCCCCGCGATTAAAAGTCCACCCTACCCGCGGGGCGAAATTGGATTTCCGACGGTCATCGGACGCTTTTGAGTCCTCGGATACGGCAGGAAATTCCTTGAGCGATTTCCAATTACTCCACCTTTCGATTGCCACCCTCGATTTGATCATTTTCAGGGATGTTACCGAGTTGCCCGATTTTATCGCTCTCACTTTTCGACGAGTCCTGGGACGTGCTACCTGTTATCGCTTAAGGGGGCCTTTGGTACCGGCTGGGGACCCTGCAGGATTTTTCCAGGACCCTGGATCCTTGTCCTAGGCCCGTCTTTCATTACGCTCGTTTACTTCACGCTGCGCGGGTTACTGGCGGCCGGTCGTCCCTTAACTCGAGCGGCGTCGTTAAATTTGCAAGCCGCTCGACCGACCATCCGTATTACTAAATCACCGCCACGGCACCGAGGGCGTAAACAAACAGGGGTGCAACCGCGAGAGCACTTGCATCTCTCGCTGCGAACGACTATAAAGATCCCCCGGGCTACGGCGATGCTCGCCGATTTATTATTTACGGCCATCGGTCACGGTAGAGCACGTCCCGAAAGGAACACGAAGGTTCCCCGCCGTCGTCGGGAGACTCCGACGTCGCCTCGTCAGGAATGAAAAGGGACCCCTAAAATCCGCGTAATATACCGCCAAGGCTCCCCCGCGGACGGATAAAGTGCCCAGCAATTTAGAATCCCAAATTGCGGACGCGGAGGACGTTGTTCCGCCGATCGTAAAGTGGACTCGAAAAGCACCTCGTCAAATGAACCTCCGTGACCGTGACGAACGTCTTACTCGAGTGTTAAGTGTTTTACCGTAATTCCGTAATTACATAATTTCCTTCGACTCGCGTATGCATGTTGATAATAATTCGAAGGAAAATTGCTAACTCGTTGAATTATTTTTCTTCGAGGCTGTCGGTGGGTCCAGACCAGGCCGAGCTCGCTTGGACTTGCAAACCGCGAAACGAATTAATCGACCCTGTTATGTCTATTTTCAGCACAATGTATCGCACCCCTGGGAATGGAGTCTGGCATAATTCCGGACGCCGACATCACCGCGAGCTCGAGCTTCGAAAGCGGAAACGTCGGGCCTCATCGAGGACGGTGAGTATTCCACTTCAAAGGGCACTTCCTGTAATCGAGATACCCAAAAACGCGTCGAAATACCCCGGGACGTGCTTCCCTTCCGGGTCAAAGTTCCATGCCAAAGGCTAACGACGTTTCGATTCCTAACGACGAGGGAGCCTCTCCTCCTTCGTCACGATATTCGACCCTCCTTGATAAATTATTCATAAGCCGAGTATTTAGGTCGCATTTCCAAAATTTCCTGCATTTTCTACATCGGAATGGAATACGGATAACACTTCACTCGGTTCGGGTGATATTCTTAGGTTAGGGTAGGTTAGTTTAAGTCAGGTTTTTACCGCGGGATGCTCGTAATTTATCTCCCGGGCGTTAATAAGGCTCCGGCAGAAGAATTATCCCCGTTTAAGTCATGCAACGAGGAGGACAAAAAATATTTCTCCGCTCAGTCGACGCGTCTTCGGTTTCAGGAAAAGTTCAGTCTCGTCCGTTGTCCCTCGTTAAACCGTTTTCAAGTGCGAGGGGCGTCGTTAGGGGAGCATCGGAGTTTCTGCCCCAGCTGTGGAGTCAACCCTCGTCCATTTTTTTCCTCCTCCAGAAAGAGCGCGATACGTAATCGGGCCGGAGTGAATCACTTCGCAGGGCCGAGGTGGACGATGCCCATTGGTCATTCCGCCGTTTAACGACCCCATCGGGTCCAGGATGGCCGGGGCATAAATCATTCCCTGGCGAGCACTCGCCGTATGCTCGGTTAATTTAAGCTAATTGAAACCCGAATGTGTCCCGAAAAAGGAGATACCGTTTTCCGTAAATACAGCCGCGAGATGGATAAGAGACGGCGCCGTTAACGAGAGAACTCTCGCGTCTCCGACGCCATATTTGGTCTCAATGTTTATTCGTTGCGTTTTCGACGGCAGGTCTTCTTTCTTCGTCCTTTTTGCTCCTCCTCAAAGAGCACGATACCTAATCTTCAGAAAGTGAATCACTCCTCGGGCCAAAGTGGACGTTGGCCACTGGTCGTCGTTTAACGACCCCGGACGGTGCCACGTAAATCACTCTTCCGCGAGCCTACTCGCATGCCTTTAATTCGATCGTACACTGACAATGAGGATTAATGACGCTCCCCAGTCCCGCATTCGAGGACTACTCAATGGGACCTTCCACGAAACCCTTTGGGCCCTACGTGGCCCAATTTCTTCACGGCCCTCCAGGCTTTTCAAGTGTCACGCACAGTTCCCTCGTCACGCGTGGACCGCCCACCTTGAAGCTTCGCTTTCAAACATCCCGAGACTTCGGACTAAACGCGCCGTTTAAAGGTCCCCGATTTATTTGTGGCGATTAACATTGGAGCGTTCCAACGAGACGATCGGTCACCACTTCGAGGGTCTCAGGAAATGGGTCCCAGAGTCCAGGTGTTCTCCAGGTATCGAGGGGTCGCGATACCGCATCCGAGTCCTGATAGGGACACCAGGGAACGATGTTTCCCGATCCTCCTATAGACACAAGGTGAACCACCTAGAGGTGGTGCTTATCACTAGGGTGTAGCGATGAGAAAATTCGGAGCTTTCCTATCATGGATTTGGTCTTGGTCTTGCATTTTCTCATGACCAGTACCCAGGACCGGCGAGCCTGCGAAGCCGAGCAGGGAATCGGATCATCCGAATGCTCCCTCTCTCCGGTCCAGACGGAGAGGCTGGAAACGCCTCTCGGTGGTGATTGCCCAAGACCGGAAGTGGCCGCAGCCGTCACTCGGAGGCAATTTCCAGGGTGCCACCGTGACGCACCCGTTCCGCTCTTTTTCGGCCCAAAGAGGGACCGGAGGTACAGTCGGTCTCTGCTTCGCCAAAGTCTCGGCCGTCTCCTTGCGGGCATAATCGAGCTCTCCGGAGATTTATCGGCGGGCCAGCCTCTTCGGAATGTCTTTGATGCGGACTGTATCAAAGTGGCAGCCAGTTTGAGCTCTCTTAATGGGCTATGAGTTATGGGTCTCGCGTTAGAGCTCCTCGCGCGTTATTCACGCACACGGAGAGGAATCGTTTTATTGCCGAGCCGGCACCTACGAGACCCTGCAGAGACCTAGACGGGGACCAAGAACGGGCCTTCCAGCGGACACAAACGCGCGTTTCGCCTTCAAAGAGGCCACCACTGTCGGCTAAATTTCCGACACTTCACAGAGCCGCTGCACCGTGCTCCTCCTTTTTCCAAGGGGACATTTTTGTCGCGCGGACGCGAATATTTCCCCCCGATATAGGACTCGGGTCGTTTGACACTTTTTCCTCGCACTCTTAAACGCTCCAATTTTCGGGCTGGTGCTCCCTCGGCCCGTAAACTAACGGGGTTTGATTTCACGGTGGACTTTTGTCATACCTTTTTCGTAACGGTCGGTATAATGAATGTACTCGGACCGGTGAACGGCGGAAGCCGGGGCGGCTCGGGGCGATTCGTATTTCTGCATTTCATGGCCCCGACGGAGCCTCGTTTTCGATTCCAAAGAGGCAGATGAGGAGAAACGGAGGACCGAATACAATGAACCTCGGATCTTCGTCCCCGGCTGCGAGCCGAGTCGGGTGGCTTCATCTTTAATTCATGTCATCCGGCCCTTCGTCCCGGATCGACGAATTATATTTTCACCTGGCGTTCCCTCCGGTAATGTGGCGATTCCGCGCGTTGCCGAAGTCCATTACGGGATTACACTCGGCTTTCTCGTAATAGGAAATAGGCTCCCTCTGTTCTACCTAGGTACGGTCATTAAATAATAAACGAGGTGGCGTAACTTCGTTATCCTGGCCATCGTCATCAGTGCCAGGGGTACCCGAGGAGTAGCGACGTGACGAGTTGGACAGCTTATCAGTTTACTCGAATTAAAGAAAAAAAAAAAAAAAATACCAACTCGAGTTTGGACTCTATTCAATTGATCCGCGTAGCATATATTTCCACGTTTCCACCCGTTCTGGCCAAGAAACGTTATCACGCGTGTCATAATCAGCCCGGTCCCTAATTTTTTAATTTTTTCCAGACTTCGCCAGGAAAGTCACGGAGGTGCCTGGTGCCCCAAACAGCAGATCACGACCGATCCTAGGGAGTGGCTGGAGGTTGATCTCCACACCGTGCACATGATCACAGCTACCGGTACCCAGGGTCGATTTGGGAACGGCCAGGGTGTGGAATTCACCGAGGCCTATTTTCTGGAGTACTGGAGACCCAACATCAGGAACTGGGTCCGCTACCAAGACGTACGAGGACAACAGGTAAGCCGACCTCTCCATGGTAGCCATCAAAGTGGATCTCAATGGGAACCTGAAGTCCCAGCTCCATCCTTGGTTGGACATGCCTCCTTCCCGAAGACGTTGATATACGCGAGCCGTAAAGGCACCTTTCTACAGAAATTCCCACGACACGCGTATTCGTTAGACCTGACCTCAGTTTTATGCCCCGGGTGTTATTATCCAAGTTTAACGAGTAATGGAGAAAGTCCTTAAATGAGGATCGGTGGAGCTCGACCGGTGATGGTGAAATTGATGGTGAAATTAGCGTCGGTTTGAAATTGGCGTTTAGAAGCATCGCGTCGGTTGGAAGTAGCCACTCCTGGGGCAAGGATCGTGCGATCTCTTGATCGTATTGCGTACTAATGACGCATTGAACTATGAGTAACGAAGAGCTGCGTACGACGACCAGCGACTCGGAGACGTCGGGCAGGTCATTCCTTCTCCCACTTATTTCATAATAAATGTGCATTTCAACCAGGAGTATACATGAATAACGAGGTGGCGGGACAAACGGAAGGCCCGAGAAATGATTGGAGCCTTTGAATAACAAGATTTGGCGACGAGTCTGGGGAAAGATGGCGTGTGGGACATTTGAATAAGAGGCGGCGATAAAAATGGGTGGGACTAGGGAATTCTTCCCCATTGTCGGTGGTCGGCGATTTTATTCCGCTCTTAAGAGGAACCAGAACGATTGCTACCATTTCGCGGGTGGAGGGCGAGGATGAGTGCACCAAGGGAACATTTGGATGATCAATGGGAACCCTGGTCCTATTTGTCTGATGGTAGGGCCCCGGTCGACGATTTCGCTATAAGGGATGGAGCGGTTTAGAGCGATTCCGAACATCTTGAGAAAGTCGATGGCGGATCCATCTTCGATGAAGGGGAACCATTCAGGGTCGGAAGGGACGTGGAATCGATCGACGACCCGTGGCCTCCTTGTCAGAATTCGTGCGTGGTCCCTCCACCCCGTGGGGTCGGGGGGTGCTGGGGGTGGAAATAGAGGCTTCGTCAAAAAAGCCTCCTGCGAGGCGGCGGGGCTTCCTTCGAGTCAGAATAGAAGGGAAAGGTGGCTGGCAGCTTATTTGTATAGGAGGTCGGATCAATAAAATGAGGGAAGGTCGTCTCGCGTGCACGCGAGTCAGACTAGGGGGTTTCGCCTTACCTTGCACGCCTGCCAACCCTCACCTGGCCTGGAACACCCCGAAGAACGGCCGAAAAAAATATTCCCAGAAGCCGAGTCGAAAAAGGGCCATCCGCGCAGCCCGAATAAGCCATCGCGAGGTCCTCGTGAGAATCGATCGCTCTCCCCATCCTCCAAAATTTACCCCCGTAAACCGATTTTTCTACATTTTCTTTTTTTCTCAAATTCAATTCCAATTCCAGTCACCCCAAGGATTCTCCCTGGAGTATCGAAATATTTCTTGGGTACTGTTCCAAGAAATATTTCTCTGGCTCGATGTAACATTTTCGTTCCCGGTGCAGTTGCAGTTGTCAGAAAATCCCCGCCCATGAATAAGTATTTAAATCGACCGCGGTGATTACGGGAATTATGGAAATGCGCGTGATTACACGGTTTACGAAATGCCAATCAACCCTTTTAAAGAGCGGGCTGGCTCGGTTTAACGATTCCTCAGAGCCGGCGCGTGGGCGTAAAAGAGGCTGGCACCTCGGTAGGTGTAAGTAGGAAGGTAAAGCTAGGGATTCTCTCCGAAGGACTATAATTAAAGAAAAGGACGGCTCTCGTCTCCTGCGTCCTTATCCTGGCTCGATCTTCCACTAACGACATCCAAGGCTCACCTTCGGGGTCCGAGGCTCGAAGGCGCGAAAAGTGTTAAGCTCCTGGGTATTGGTGGCGATGCGAGTCGGCAACCCAGGGTGGAGGTGGTCCCCCGTGTATTTCGCGTCCCTTCGCAAGTAATACGCACAAACGCACAATGCGCATTAACATAAAACATGGGCGTCGGCCCGATGGACCGCACCTTCTTTCGTGATCAGCGGACGGCGGGAAGAGCGGACAAGGCGCCGTTACTTATTTAATTTACTCGACACCGAGGGCGCCCTGCATTATGCGCCTGCATAAAGGAAAGTGCAGTTTATGGCCCTTTTAAAATTTCGGAACACCGTTTAAAGAGGTTTCGATTTAAGTACGGGTCGAGATATTTAATACTTCGGGGAGAGTGAGAGAAAGATAGCGATTTGCTAATTATTTGAACGGATTCAAAAGTCATTTTGCAGTCTCGTTTATTTATTTTACACGCCTGGCGAGAATGTCGCGTCACGTGCGATCGCGGCCAACTTCTCGAGTCTCGAAACAAGTAATTAAAACCGAGGGTCCACATTCGTCGCACTCGGCCCGCTGGCTGTTAAGGTTTCATTAAAATATTACCCTGGTTGTTAGAGTTTGGCAGGCGAGAGGAGGCCGCGGGAAACTACAACTCATTAATTCCTGTATCCGGTGAAAATGAAAACCGACGAAACGCGAGTCTGGCGTAGCGAGTTGAGATTTGTTTGCCCGGGGGACCCGCGAAAAACGTGGAAACTCGGTAAACTCGTAATTCGCCTAGGATGCCGCAAGTCCTGTCAAGTGCAACGTGCACCCTTAAAAATGATTCGCCATCGATAAAGAAATATCACTGAAATTAGCGAAGCCTAAAAAAATTCCCTCCTCGCAATTGATACTATTAGCGTAGATAGCGTAATTTAGGTTAGACATTAGATAAGAATTTTCCCTCTCGTGTAACATATCTCGTGGATTTTACTAAGCCTCTCTGAGAATTCGAAGGAATTTTCAGTCAGAGAAGTCGCCGGTCCAGCCGGAGGCTGCTGGAAAAATCCTCTCCGATTTAAGGATGGGCGTGGCGTCGCGGCCTCGTTAATTCCCGTATCCAGTGAAAATGAAAACGAGAGGGGAACGTGCCACTGGCGTTTCGAGTTCGGGATTTGTCCGAGCACTCGGCCGAGTGGCGAGAAACAAGGGAGCGCTGTCGCGGCGCGTATAATTTAGGACCAATTATATCGAGCCGTTATAGCCCGTCTAGAGAGTGGCCCGGACATACCCCGTACGTGGAAGTACAAGTCCCGATCCCGCCTGTAAAAGTGCACCAACACGGGTGTCCCCGATGCACCTATGCGCTTACAGGTGCACCCACACGAGATCGACGCTCGAGAGTCGGCGACGCGGAGAGGTTCGCGCGTCGTCGACAGGACTCGCGTAGGAGGGAAGATAAATATTGAGATTGCTGATTTCCTTCTTTTTCCCCCATTTTTTTCCCCCACCCCCAGAGACGTCGTAAATGACTCGAGGAGACGTTACGGCTTCCTCGATCGCCATCTTCCTCGAGGTTGACACCCCCTTCCGCCCTCGAGTCATCTTGGACGGTCTCCTTGATTTATGCGGAAATTGACTCGAGTCACGCTCGGTTTGTAGGGTTTGGGACTGGTTCGAAATTAAAGGAGTCCCTGGAAACGAGACACGTCGATTCCCGATCGGTACCCTCTGATTGGGAATATCGGCCCAGCCCGATCATTTGGGGATGACTGCGGTGCACTTTATTCCCTCGAATTACGCAGTCAATCGGTGATTTACCGCGTTTAAGTCAATTCGCGATAAACGGCCGATTACGCGGTTCCTCGTCCCGATGGGTACCCTTTTTCTTATCAAGGATCGACGAGATTTCTCCTCCCTCCGGTATTAGTGCGGAGTTAGAAGTGGAGTTATATTCGCCGGTGGGATGGGATCGTTCGATTATTTCTCGAGATATCGGCTTAGTTATTTCGGAATTAAAAATAATTAGGGAGTTTCGGCTACCGAGGTATGTGGACACGAGGTAGACTGGCTGGTAGGGAAGGTCCTAGCCATTTTTATTCCCCAATCAAGACTAATGAAGTGCAGGACCGAGTTTCGGGGTCCTCGGCATTCCCGACAGATGTTCCCGTCAGCGTTGGACCTCCTAAAGAAAACGTTTATTGCCTGTCTCCGAATATTTGTAGCCGAAGGCGGATCTTAATGGGCATGTTTAATCTCGTGTAAATTTCCCCCTGAGAATCTCCTATAAAGAAGAGGCCTGACCGCTTACTCAATCGGCATTAGAAGGGGGACCCGACAATCTTTGCAGCTGATCGGTAACGGACATCTCATCGCTTCGTGATAAGATATTTAAGAAAATGGATAAGGAAATATTTAGACCGTCTCCAAGATACTTTCCACTCCAAAAAATCTCCTGACTTCATTTCCAAGCCTTAGGGAACCCTCCGGATCCTTAAATCGCGAACAAGGAAGGAAACATCAAAGGGAACCCTGTCCATCCCAAAACATCCACCGTCATCCTCAGAACCCAGTTTATAGCCCCAAGCTCAGTCCACTGACTGTTAATTTCCAGCGTCTGTATTTTCTAACCCTTTCCTCGTCAATTTTCCACCTAGCTGTATGTTCCACCTGCAGAGTCAGGAAGAGGAGCCATCAGCAGGCTCATCGAGTGGGGCCGAGGTTGGTCGATCATTCCCTCGATACGACATTCCACGGGAGCCTCGCTAGATCCAGGATCTCCCGATTTATCGGCAGGACGGATCGACGAAATTCCTCGAAGGTGTCGAATAGAAAGTCCTCTCCCTCGGAATTCTCGGGGTCTTATTCCCTCGTCCTCTAATAAGCCACCGTGACGACGTATAAGACCGAGCCTTCCTACCCACCTAGGGAGTCCACGTCGGCGAGTCGTGTTCTCACAACTTAGCCGGTGCAGCGTGACCGAGATCTGGAACGATCGTGATCTAGCGATCGATTCCCGCACACACGCCGGGGTGAATTCTCACGTGGCCCGATGGCGGACGCTCCCTCGAAAAAGGCGAAACACACCGGCGTGTGTGTCCGTGCCCGTAGGAGCGACTCCTCGCGTGTCCTCACGCGACATCATTAACGCCACTGGCTGACGGGATTTTATTTATTGCTCCTGCCGACGGGGACCACCGTGAAATCCTGGGCCCGATCCTCCAGGACGAACGGCGAACACTGCAGAGCGGGCCACACACTCGTGAACTGGAGATGGTTTCTCTTAGATCATTAGAAATAGTGAAAATCATTGTGAAATCCGTGCGGATCGAGGAAACTAAAGCTGCAGGGAAAGTCTGGCCGTGCATTAATGGGAAACGGTCTCACGTAGATCTGCCGGGATCGGGCGGAATTTTTTTGCCGGCAATCTACGCGCGGAAGTTACCCTCCTGACGTATCCCACGCATCTACGAAGAGGGAGCCACAGGGAATCCCAAGTAGGCCTCACGCTTAGGCCGAACTGCAGATCGCACGTGTCGATGTGGTCGCGGATCTTAGGACACCCAACCCCGATCCGATTCCTGGTGACCTTTCCCAGGAGCAGACTGGAAGAACTAAGCTAAACCTACTTGCAAAAGAAATCCAAGTCCTGGGACCGTCGATCCCTATCATGTGTCACCATCCCAAAAATCCCACATCCTAGCCCTCTTTGATCGTGGTCCACACATCAGGAACCCGATTTTTTGCCAGGTCCCCGTCTTCACGTCGTGCCGTTTCTTGTTTCAGGTGATCAAGGGCAATTCGAACACGTACCTAGAGTCGAAGCACGACCTGGAGCCCCCCATCTGGGCCAGCAAGATCCGCTTCCTCCCATACAGCTACCATCGGCGAACGGTCTGCATGCGTGTGGAGCTATACGGCTGCCCGTGGAACGACGGCATCGTGTCCTACTCGATGCCCCAGGGTGACAAACGCGGCAACCGGGAGTTCTTCGACGCCACCTATGACGGCTACTGGGACGGGGAGCTGCAACAGGGTCTGGGCCAGCTCACGGACGGCAGGACCGGTCCGGACAACTTCAAACTGGGCCATTACGACGAACGAGGCCAAGGTTGGGTGGGCTGGAGGAACGACAGCAGGTCGGGTCATCCCCTGGAGATCAAGTTTGAGTTCGACCACGTCAGGGAGTTCTCCGCGGTGCACATCTACTGTAACAATCAGTTCACCAAAGACGTGCAGGTGAGGACTCGGTGCACCTGCAGGGGCTTATTACACCCACGCATCTATTTCCACTTAAAACGTGGACCTTGAAGAATGGTCCCAAAGGGGCGCCAAGTATGGCAAAAGGGCAGAGGAAGTTTGACAAACTGGTGCAATCTTCCTCCCAATCGTGGAGTTCCTCTTCAGGGTCCCAGATGATTGATCTTCCAGGTTCCAAGTGGGCTCGTTAATTTTCCAGAGCTCCGAGTAAATTCCAAGTTGAAACGAGAAGTGCAGCTGGGTTGTATCTCCCGTTGGCAGGTCTTGCAGGACTTTTTCCTATTTTTTCTCGAGAGGGGGGATCGATACCACCGGGACGAGTCCGAGAGAGATCCATCCTCGGAGTGGTCCCGCAGTCCCAGCTCCCTCGGAGGGGCGAAGTGGCTCGGAAAGTTTGGGGGAAATCCGTGGAATCTTTTATCCGAGAGGGAGTAGGTATCCGGAGTCCACTTCGCCACGCCCAGGCGATGGCGGGATCGATTTTGCAGTTGCATAATTTCGAGAGGACCTCGGGGGGAGGAACGGCCGCCGAGGAGTGACGCTGTCGGAAAAGTTCTGATTTTCCCTGGCCTCCTCCACCCCACCCGTCCTCGTTCACGGGTGATTTGCGGGAGGAAAATTGGCGGGTCTTCGCTCGCCCTAGGGGGTCTACTGCCTTGAAGAAGAAGACCCCGGGGGTGGGTTCTCCACCACCTGCGCCAAAACTACCCCAAAACTCGACCGGAAAGAAACAACCGAGAATCATCGGACTCGAAGACTCGAGTGAACCAAAGAGTCCCTGGAGAACTAGGTGGCGAATTTTTGGAGGGGGAACCACCCCGTTGGGATTTTGGGGAAATACCACACGGGGTTTGGTGAAAGAAGCTGGGGAAAAATCTCCAGCATCCAGTTCTCGCGTCCGGGTTTCGTTTCCTACCAACTGGGGTGGGAGGTGTGCGCGACAATGCGCGACGCTTATCCGCGGGGGGTTCCCGGGGGCTAGGGGTCCAGAGGGCAGGGTGAAAATTTTCCGGGGCATTCTACATTTCATAATGGCTCGCGAAACACGAGGTGGTATCAAGATTTATTTGAATGGAGCGCCTCATTACCCGGCTCCGCAATTGTATGGCCGAGCGGCCGGGTAGCCAAGAGGGGTTGCTCGCTGTCTCTCTCTCTTTCTCTCTCTCCCCCCTCACAATGGCGGCGCGCTGAAACGAGCACGAGGAGGCTGAGTGCCGGGGCCAGAACGAGAGAAGGCGACCGGCAAATACGCGTATTCGGATACAATACCGACAGAGTCTCGGGACCAACCCCCAGGAGCTGCACCCCCGCGAGAGTCTCCCGCGACCTCTCCTCTTCCCTCCATTAACGAGAGGAGGGTCGTGCACCCTTGTACAGATAGAACACGTTGCTGAAAGACTGTCGACTTCAAAGCTTCCGTGGCCTTGCCAGCCCTTGCAGCTTCGAAAATCATTAGGATTCACCCTGCACCCTTAGATACCTGGTGCTCTGAAGAACACCCCATTGGATACGGGGATGAGCGAAATCGGTCTTGGAGTCATAACATTGGAGTCTTTCTCTTGAAAGTCGATGTTCCTCCTTTCGCAAAAAAGACCACGGCCCAATTTACTCATCACCGTCCAGGTACCAAGACGCGTATTCTAGAGGGCCATCCTGAAGAGCTCGACTTAGCTGGTCCCGCTTCTTTGAAGATCATCTGGGAATTCATTAGGAACCTTCCTCCTTCGGGAAGGGTTAGCTCCCAATCTCTGTTCCACGATCTACGTACCCACATCCGTCAGATAGTCCCGGGTTCTCTTCGGCAGCGGGGAATTTGCATTTCGAGAATGCCCTTTGGAACTCGTTAAAGATGGGTGCTGGAGATGATTATCGAAATCGTCGAGGCGGTGCCTGCCGGGCGCAAGGTGGATCTCTTCAGCTTCTCCTCGTGTTCGCAGGTGTTTTCCGTGGTCAACATCCTCTTCAGCGTTGGCGGACGGTACTACACGGGAGACCCCATCGTATATTCCTACGTGGAGGACAGGATCTTCGAAACCTCCCGGAACGTCACCATCAAGCTTCATCATCGCATCGGGAAGTTCGTCAAGCTCAGGTTCTCCTTCGCCTCCAGGTGGATCATGATCAGCGAGATCACCTTCGATTCCGGTAAGTGTAGATCTGGATCCAACTTGATTTGGGGGAAACAGCTGATCGGCGATCTTCCCGTTCGTTGCACCGAATCGACGCTCCCCAAAGTGAGCCCTCTCTGTACGTGTATCTGGAATGCGCGTAAAGGGTATCGGTGCATCGGCGATTGCAATTGCGATCCGACATTGCAATCCCGGGGAGGCATCGCGGCGATATTGCTGAGCTGACAAGGTAACTCTGCCACGTGCTTCCGAAATTAAATTCCACGGTTGTGGGCCACTTTTTCGGGACCCAAATGCAGTTCTTACGGTGCAGATGCACAGTCTTTTGATCCATATCCGGATCAGAACCTTTTTTATAGACTGCATATTTACGTTGTTAAGTTTGAAACTTTTCGGTACACCCAGTTCTGAGACCTCTTTGACATGGCTTTCGTATCACCTTAAACTAGATTTTTTAGACTTCTCTTCTCCTTGAAAATGTCTCCCCATTATTCCTGAGGAAGTTGAATTAAAAAGTAAAAATTCATTCCGGCTCCATTCTGAGACGTCCACCAGGACCCGGAGTGTCCCATTTCCGGGCACGCCATCAACACCCACGTTCCTTCTCGTTGCAGACGTTGCCCACGGGAACTTCACCCCGGAAGTCCCACCATCAACGGAGGCGCCTCGTCTTCGAGATCGAAATTCTGCCCGGGACACGCCGCTCCAGGCGGAGGTCCCCGTGTCAACGGCGAAACAGGACGACCCAACCTACATGGCGGTGATAATCGGAGTCCTGACCGCCGTGATCCTGCTCCTGGCAGTGGCGATCTTCCTGATAGTGTCTCGTCACCGGCAGCGAAAAAATTTCGCGAGTCCCCTGAGCGCGAAAAATTCGATTCCCACGGGGAACCATCAGCACTTGTCTCCAGAATCTGCCTATGGGACCACCGAGAAGGACCCTTCTCTGATGACCTACAGGGTGGAGGAACTCGACGACCGCTACACCGGGGCCAAGCTGACCACTCTACCTCGCGATCTGAACGATCGACTCCTGGGGGACGTCCGGCTGGACGAGTACCAGGAACCCTTCCACGACAAGTACAGAGAACCTTCGCATGCCGCCTACTATGGATACAGTACCGTGGTCATCGATAATAAGGACCTACATGACAATATCGAGCAGTCGGGTAGGTACAAGGTCCTCCTAGGATGTCCTGATTCTAGGGTCTGGTTTGCGAGTCCAAATTTTGGATGGGGAATGAAAAATCTTTCAGGCAGAAGAATCATTGAATTTTTAACTGGAAATCCCATCAGCTGATCTGGGAATTTTCCAATCAATCGGTCTTGGGTCGAGAATGCGTTTGCAGGGTCTTCTCTTCTGCTTGCAGATGCAACTTATGACTACGCCGTGCCCATGCCAGTGCCTAGTGTAAGCAGCGACCAGGATAGCGTCTTCTCCAAGTCCTCGTCCAGAGGAAGTGCAAAGGTGGGTGGATGAATTTTACTTAATCTCCAGGAATCCGTCCCACTTGCGTTTCATTCCCACGCGGACATCTCGACGAGTCCTTTCAGCTTGTCCTAGACAGGACCTTGTCTAACGAACCCACGCGGGTGCTTCAGGCGTGCTTGCAGAGCTTTTTTCCACCACCTCCACCGCCCATGAGTGCACCTCCTGTGAGAGGATCCAGCAACCTGACTTATTCGAGTCCTCCGAGTCCTGAGCCCATCTGCGAACGGGAACGTCGAGGGAGCAAACGCCGGGAACACTCTCTGCACAGATATGCGTAAAGAGGGAGCAGAGTCCTGTGCCATTGCCCGCGGGACCTGGTCCTGGAGCCAGAATGTTCCCACAGGACGGAGGATCCGAGTGACGAAAGGAAGGGTAAGCTGATATCCTCCGCGCCGACTCGTCTTGTCACGAGTTATCACAAGGAGGTCCCAAAATTCGTCTGGACTCCTTCGAGGTCCTGTCAGGATCAGTCTCGCTTCTCCTTCCGAGGAGGACCCGAAGAGAACCGAGGAACACAAATCGGCATATCAGTTAGCGAAACGTCCGGTCCAGCTAGCGTCGAGCTCCCGGAAAATCGAAATCGCGAAAAGTCGGAGCTTTTCTCGGAATTTATCCTTTTACCTTGAAAAGAAATTAACTTTCAAGGACATGCGAACCCTAAAAAATAACCCTTCGCTAATAAAAACTCAAACACTAAGTAATGGTGAAATTTCATTGAAAAATCGACAGATCGCGTTGTTTAATCATTTTTGGAGAATTCAAAGGTTGAGATGCTTGGACGAAATTCGGGGGAAAGCTCTGGACGTGGATTTTTCCTAGTTTCGGTCTGCGCTTTATTTTCGGAGGTCCCTCTGCGAAGGGAGCCGCGCGAAGGATCGATCGGGGTCGGCGAGGACGAAAAAGGGGAAAATCAGGGAAAAGTCGAGGAAGAGGGAGACGGGCGTTCTCTCGGCCTCGTCGATCGTCAACCAACAAGACTGACATCGAGTAAATATTAAATGAAGTCCCCGGAAGGATAAATTCGAGCGCCGAGGACTGGGACGTGAAAGAGGAGACGCGCCTGGGCCGTCTATTATTTATTGCACAGCGCCACTAACGAATTTCCCTATTCGGTTTTTATTATCCTCCCTTCCTATCGTTTCCTCGTTTTCTGTTTTTCTTTTTTTTATTATTTATAGTTAGGTCGATATGCACACGCGTCGCATAAGGACGAGATAAGGCGAGAGGCGCGCACACGTGTAGATACGTCACATAAGCCTGTACACATAACCTAACTTTATTTCTCTATATGCGTGTATATTTCCACCGACATCGCCTTCATGCAACGAGGAAATCGAATATAATTCGTAAAGAATCGACAATACAGGGATGAGACTACAATAATTCGAGCGGAGGGCGTAGAAATCGGGACTAAGAGGCAGGGACAGGGGGGGGATTAATTGAATATTAATTCGACTATCTGTACGATATTACGCGAGTACCATTGTGATAAGCAGGAGGGGGGGAGATAAACGAGGTTACCGCGCTCTATTTAAACTCTATATTAATCCTATTTAACGCGGGTCGGGCTCGTAAGGACGACCCCCCGCGAAGACTGGGCTCGCAACACTGTCACTGTCACTGTCACTGTCGCTGTCGTCGGGATGACGACTTTAGCTTTTAAACAAACGGACTTTCGGTATGCACGCCGTCGATGCCGCCGATTTAGCTTGTAAGGATGACCAGAGAGACAACCGACGCCTTGTAATCGGAGATCGATATCGAGCCCTAATCGAGAATTTTGCACAATAGTCGCGGTTCACCGAATTATTTTGAAATAAGTACCATTTGGTATGTCGAGTAATTGCGCGGGTTAAACACGGAAATTTGCACTTTTATACACTTTTACAGGATAAAGGCAGGCCGACCCCGAAAAGGGCGCACCTGATATAAAATGCGTAATTTCATTTTCCAAGGTACATGTCGCACACCTTTCGCGTATATTTATACGACTCAATGCACAACTAGCGCACCTCGGCCCTGGGTATGGTAAATGTAAATCCCCATCTCTGATTACAGTGCGACGGTTCGCGACTCCTCGATAAGCCGCGTCGTTCTCGCGAGGTCGGATCGCCGCTCCTCTTCGGGTAATAAATATATCGACGCAATAAAGGAGAGGGCCCGTCCCGGGTTTCTCGGAGGGCCCGGGAGGTTTTACAATAATTCCGAGGCAATAAACTCGAAAAATGACGAGACAGCTCGGAAGGCCGCGCCGCGGTTTTTCGCGGGACTGTCGTCGTCCTCCCATCGGTTATCGCCTCGTCAAAAGCGGAGAAGCGGAAATACCGAAGGCATATTTAATTTTCTCCCGAGAGATGAGGTCCCCAAAAATCGCCTGAAAAAAATACCGACCTCTCAATCAATAATTCCGCAATAAAATCGAAACCGCGATTTCCTAGGGGAAAAAAAAAATCAGGGCGATAGGAACGACAGAGGAAATGTTTCTTCCGGACGAGGCTTAATGATGTCACTTGTAGAATTATTAGATACCGAAATGACTCGCGGATCTCCAGTTCTCGGCCGATTCGTGCACCCTAGCTTCGAGGTCACTTCATACTCGATGTACACCGGCGTCGCAACGCGCGTATAATTACACCCCTAAGAGCGATCGCGGCGCGCAGAGTAAGTCCCTAAAGATTTACGATTAAGGGATAAATCTTGGCCGGGTTCGCTCTCTCGCGTCCACGCCGAAAAGATATACGCCATGACGGGAAGGGCGTAAAAGGAGGACGGGAAGGGAGTTTTCCCGCCCGGAGGAAAATCCTGGAGAAAATGCCCGCGCACATCCGTCCGCGTAAATCATGCTCGCTGGACCGCGGATGCTGCGTTTTGACTTGGAGAAATATGGCCGCGAGTCCGCCGGCTGAAGGGAATTCGCATCTTTTATTCAGCAGTGTGCGTACGTACTTATGTACGAGCAGCTGCGAGGAGGGGGAGAAAAAACGAGGGGGCCACCGCGAGGCAAGGGAGGAACCCGCGTTATCGACTCGCCGATGCACCGACGTGCATCTCGGCCTGTCACGTGGGTGCCCGATGATGAAGTTCCGTGCATTATCAAGAGCCAGAGTCGCTGGCATTGACCAAGGGCTCTTATCGATCGAGACATGTAAAAAGCAACGATCGATCACCCGTAATTGTCGTGATATCTCTATAATTATCGGTGAAAATGCTGATAAAGAATCCCGCGAGGTCGTCGAATATATGCACTTGGTGATTTCCGAGCGACGTTGCGGGGGGTCTCGGAAAATGCTTGCGCTGCTTAGCGGGTGTCTAATCAGGTGCACCTTATGCACTTCCGCTTCCGCATAGGAGGCGACACCGAGAGGTGCAACGTCGCCGCGAAGGCGCGATATGCATAATCAGGGCGACTTGGTCACTGATTGCGCGATTCTGGTTCCATGACTCTCGTTTCTCGAGGCGAGAGTCGACACGGTGTTCCGGGAATCGATCGTCATGGGGAATGGTAATAATAACCATAGGTCACGTGGTCGCTGGTGCAAGGGACCGAAGTGCATCCATATGCACCCGACATTCCGGCGCAAATTCGAATTTCGTGAAATTCCAGCTCGCCCAAATTTTTCATATGCGTGGATCGCTCGAAAAAAGAACGGATGTAAAAAAGCCATGAAAAAAGTCACCTCACTCGAGAAACACCATAAAACCCGATCGAGCTCCAATTTCACGGCAATTGAAAACCCAGAAGACAATCTCAAGTCGATTAAACTCCTCAGCGACAATTCGATTTTATTCTTCTAGTGTTTTATATCGCGATTCCATTACACGGTACGACAAGCGCACTATCTTAACACCTCGGCACACAATGCGAGAAGGAAATAGAAAGTTTCGTCAAAACGGAACCGACGAAAGAAGTTTCCCCGTGTCGCAGACGCACCTGCGAGCGGACCCTTAACAATTAATAATTAACGTTAAGCGACTCGTGGCAGTCTCCGGACGAGCGAGGCTCGTTACGGGGATGTTTAATTGCGGAGTATTTAATTTAGATCGATATTGGGTCGCGCATGTGGAGGAAAAAAAATAAATGAGAAAAAGAAAAGAAAAATATGGCGACCCGATCGCGAGTACGGCACCGGCCTAACAAACTGTAGTATTCGTCGACGTCCCGTCAACGTCCCGTCAACGTCCCGTCGACGTTCCGTCGACGTCCCGGGCCCGAGGTATTACCACGTATTATTTTTCACACTGTACATAACGATGTAATTTATGTAATGTTACATTGCGCGCATTCGCGCCCGGGATCCAACGTGGGACGATCGCGGCGGGTTGTACATAATTGTATGATAATGCGAGAGGGGGGGCAGCGGGGGTGCCGCCATGTGTAATTACGCAGTGTGTACCGGATGCATATTTGATATTTGTGTGCCTGTATTCCTTTTGTATGCTGTACCGAGAATAGCGGAAAGAAAAAGAGGGCGCGCGCGCACGTCCGTGTCTATTTAGGGAAATCATTATATTACGAGGAGCTGCGCCGCACGGGCGTGCGCGTGCGCGGCAGCGGATTATATATATAGGAGAAAATACGAGTATCAGTACTGTACACATCAAATTATTTGTCCGAGCGATGGAAAATAAACTTTTAGCGAACTGAAGCTGTAACGAGGTCTCTGCTCAATTTCGCGACCCCTCCGACCCTCCCCAAAGCGCTCGATTATTATTATCATAGTTTTTTTGACAATTGCAGAACCATTACCCCTTTATGGAAGACCGGTCGAAATTCAAGGTAAGATTTTCCCGGATGTTTCCGTGTTTGTAGCCGGATCGTTAACGCTTCGCTGTTCGGAGGTCACCCCGAAGAGTGGGGAAGAGGAGAGGAAGAGGATGTTGAACAACCAACGGGCTCGTCGTTATTCGTTGCGATTGGTTCGGCGAATTCGAGCCTCTCTCGAAACGTTTGTCTCCTGAACCGAGCGCGCCGTCTTTCCACGTCGTTAAACGGCGCGACGCGTTATGGGAGTGCGTGAAAAGAATGGGAGGAACAAGGGGAAATATCGGAAGGAGTAGGACGAGGAAATGCCGGAATAAAGGACGGCAAAGAGTCCCTCTCTCCTTCCGTTTCCCCGGCAAATTAAAAAGAAACTCGCGGAAAACTGCGCCTTTCCTCGTCGGCGCTTGCGAGTCATTAAAACGCCGCCGCCATGCCGGGCTATTAGAATGACAAATAACGTAGTTGACGCTGCCAAATGAGTGCGACGAGACGGGGGAAGAGGGTAGTTCACTTCGCGAGACTGGCTGCTCGACCTAACCTCTTCTCTCGCCTTGCTCCTCTGCGCCATCAGTCACTCCGGAAGCCCCGCGGCCGCCATCTTGGAGAACCCGTCTTTTCAGGGCTGCAGGAAACAGGGAGCTCTTGATAGTTTATGGTTAATCCGTTACCAATTAATTGTCTCCCTCCTCTTATTACATGAAATTAGTACGCGTCGTGATTAGAGCTGGGAAAAATTGCACTCTTTCGAGTGGCCGATAAGACCAGCAGGAACGTTGACAATCCGCCGGCGCTCCGATGACATTGCGTGACACAAGTCATCGTCTGATTGCGGCTTACGGACAATGCCGGGTAATGTTGCGCATTGTTGCGCAATGCCATTGCGACGTTACACAATTGCAGTATCCGTCCGCACCGCGGCCGGCGATAAGACCGGCTCGGCGGCAAATTGCGAGCAATTTGCGAGCATTTTGCTATCCGAGATGACGGTCGAATTATTTCGACGTCGAAGTGCGCGTCAATAGGAGAGATCATTTGCAATGATGGATAATTGGCTGCTGGTCTCGGTCGCACCCCTTTATAGATCATTCTCTAAGTCGTCGTTATCTTTGATACCGATTTTCTCAATTACTGTTCCAAAATCCTTTTTACCAGCTGCAAAAGACTGCGCCTCCAATCCGCGATACCCCCTTTCGAAATTAGCCGATTCGGGGCATTACACCCCCTAATTTAACCGCTCCCCAGAACTTCCCCTCGCCGTGGGAATACCAGCTAACGCTCTTACGATGGTCCAAGTTTAATTTCACTTGCCCCGAAGTTGGCCGAACTTCTAATAAACCGTCATTATTCACGAGCATCAAATTAGTGCCGAATTAATGTTCGAGCGCGTCCTGCCGAAACTTGCGATCGTTCCCCCTTCGGACAAATTCCTGCGCAATATTCCGAAATTCCAAAAATTCCTGACGTTCCGTAGGAAATCTCTGAGTCCTAAGGGAATTACCAAGACTTTGGTGGGACTGTTTCCAGCGTCTACTAATCTACTTCTTCGACGAGGAAAGAAAACAAACCACCAGGAAAGTAGTCATCCATAAGGGGGTTAATCGAAAGAATTCCCGAAATTCACTGAAAATCCCATAATTCTCGAAATTCACTGCGTTTCGAGGTCCTGCAGTACTTCAATGGAGCCATTCCTTAGAAGTCCTTCCAACATCCGGTGCAAAAAAATCCAGTCCAAGGGGCTCTCTTTTGTGCCTCGTCAGCTGCTGCGCTGTTCCGCGCTGGCGCCGATTATCACCCCGATATGGGGCGGCAGGGTTAGGGTTAAGGATCTCCCGAATTCGAAGGGGGGCCATGGTGCCCAAAGTCGACCAAAGTGCCAGACGTTACGGCGGAACTTTCGCCGACCGGATGCGTGCTCCCGGGGGTGCGTCGCCAATTGCGCCCGGTACGAATTCCGTGCAGATCCCGAGGGTGGAGGCGCCACTTCGGGGAAGCGATCGCATTCAACCGAAGGGAAGGTCTTATGGGGGCAGGGAAAATATCGCTCGTTTCTTAGAAATACAGCACGCGCCGTCGACGCGAGGGGGCTGCTTCTGGATCCAGGACTAATGAGCCGGGAAGAAAGGACGCCCTGATTCGGGATTCGGGAGAGGCTCCAAGTGCGCGGGGCGAATCCTCCATCGAGTGCCCATAAAAACCCCGACACCTCCACAAGCGTCTCGATTCAACCACCATACGATCCCCATTCACTGCAGCTCCGAAAAATCCACTCCAGAAAATACCACCCTATTCTTAATCAAGTAATATTTTCTGTCATAAATCGATAGGGCAGTATTAAACGAAGGGACGTCATTAACGAGATATAACACGAAGGAACATTTAAAGCCGAGATTGATGCGATTTGAGGATCTCGTGGCGGCGCGTAATTGACGATCCCATTGGCTCGATTTAGCCGCGCATCGGGGGCGTAAAAAATCGGCGATTTTCCGAAGGGGACGCCAGGCGTCATTTAGTCCGTCGGCGTCGGCGCGTGCCACGTCAGACGTACGTCTCGAAGACAAATTCCTCTTCCCGTCGCGGTCCCGACGAGGTCGACGGATCGTTAAGGCCGCGCTTCGGCCTCCCCTTTCCGAGCGCCTCGAGTTGCGGGGGCGTGTTTCGCGATTTATTTTTACGCCCGAGATGCGCAGCTGTAATTGCTTCAGGAAGTCACTACTCAGCGAGCATGCCCGCTATTTTGAATATTCCCGCGGGACCCGGTGCACCAGGAGCACCGTTTAGGTCTGGACCGAGCGCAAAAAATCGCACCCCGACAGCTGGCCGCTCATAAGTTCCGCGACTCCTCAGGGGCGAAGGCACCCTTTGGATCTCGGTCGCGATCAGCTGGATTTACGCCGTGATTATCGCCTCTTCAGGGTCTGCCTCTCTGATCTTTCGGGCCCCGTTAATTGTCCGGGATCAAGGATTCGCCGCCTTGAACTTGGCGAACGCTCTTCTCGTCGACTCAACTCGGTGCAAACGACCCACTTCGTCATTCCTGGCGTGCCGACCAAAACACTACGAGCCTCTATTTTTCCTTTTTATGGAAATGAGAAAATGTAAATGTGAATTTATTTCCCCTTGTCGAGCTCCAGGGTTCGCGGACCCTGAAGAGCTAAGAAGGGTCCCCGGGGCAACACGAGTGACCGTCTAATGAAATAAACGTCTCCTCGAGCAGTGTTTGGACAATCGCTCGGTAATTGACTCGTCGTGGGGGTCGAGGGGGGTATCTATTGGCTCCGTCTCTTTTTCGACATGTAAATAGGGGAGCAGCTGTCAGAAACAACGACGCCTTTCCGCGGGTTGCCTGGCAACGAGTGTTGCAGGGTTTGTCAGGCGTTTACGAGCGAGTGCCAAGCCGACGAAATTGGCTCGCTCCTCTCCGTTTTGTTCCGTTCTTCAGGCACTTCGAGTTCCGTCGAGGAGCCTGAAGAGAGCCGTCGAGTGCCACGAAATGACGTGCCACCGGGCCAGCTGGCTGGCTAAATTATTCGCCAGTCATTGGCCATCCTTTTAATCGGCCAATTGACGTTGTCAATTTTAACCCGTCCCATGATGGACGCTGAAGACTTTCAAGAATTTCCGGGAATTTGTCGCGGCGATTTTAATCCTGCCTTGGCATCCTGCGACGAGGCTCGATAAAGGATCTCCTAGGACTAGCGACTCGCGTTTCGAATTCCCACCTCGAGGATGTGTCGACATCCTCGCCGGCGGACACGTAGCGGGAAATCGCGTAGACGCGCCGACGTCGACGCAGCATCCGGTGTCGCGGCGGTCTCCGCGAATATCCGCACGCGGAACAATGTGGAGACGGTCATTGCCGAATTACTATTCATAGCGCGAAGTGAGAGGAAGGTCCGGGATGTAGGTGACGGGCAAGATGTCGAGAAGGACTGGGCCGTTGAGAAAGATCTGCATTTCGAGTCGAGCCCTCCACCCTGACTCCGTCTTCTGGCAAACATCAGGAAATGAGTTTTACCGTCGTTAAAATAAAATCAACAAACCTACCATCCCTTTAAATAATCAATAACACTCGTGCATGAATTTCCATATCCTGATTATACTCTGAAATTAATCGATCTCGGAATTTTCGCGACTCGGAGAGATGCATCCGCGAGATGGTTGAAACGTTTGAAATTCTGGACCCTGGCCTCCCTTCCTGGTATTTTTCGGGAGGCAAAGGGGTGGACGATGGAAGACCCGCCGGAGAATAACGCCCTTTACGGACCATCGAACTTTATATGCGAGAACCTGGGGATAAATCGTGGGAATTACTAAATGTGGAGGGTTTAACGCCCTCCGACTCTGTCCCGCCGGTTTAACGCCCGCCCCAATTTCCTCGCGAATCGTGATTGCGAGTTGCGGCCGATATAAAAATTTTATATCCACGAGGAATGGCTTCTAGGTGCGAGTCCGTTGGGACAATTTGTCGATGGGACGAGGAGACACTTCGATGTGTGGACCGATCGACGGCTTTGAGATATTGCGCGGTATCGAGAAGAGACGTGGCTCACGACATCGACACGGGTGCGATGTCGGTGTTCATGTAAAACACATCGTACATGAAATTCCGGAAATTGGGAGGAGACCCCGAAGAAAGGGTTCCCAAAAAAAAATCGAAAATTCATGGATCATTGTAGGAGCACCGATGACCATCGAAGAAATCCATAATTAATCGTTTATAATTTTCTTTTCTCATAGGTTCTGTGAGGATTTTTTATGCGTTAATGTTTTGTTACGTTTATAGTAATTAATTGGAAGTGACATTTTCCCGGTGTACAAGTTTTAGGCCGGGGAGCGAAGGGGGCTTGTAAGCAGGGCTTACGAGCTTGTAGCAA